AAAAACATCTGAACTTGTACAATAAAATGGTTCCTCAGTGTGGATCTGTAACTCTAACTGTGACACACATGATCCTGAGGGGAAAAAAGCTCTTGAGAATAAAGTTTATACAGTATTAAAACTTTTAGACTGTAAATGTTTGACTTTATTTAAGTAATGTATTGACTTAATTAACTTTTTTCATTTTGGAATTTACTCACAAACTATTACAACTTAAATATGAAAATATTATGACTCCAATCTTGAAAATATTCTATAATATCTTTTGACTTTTAAATAACTTAACTTTTGACTTCAATGTTTAAAAGTTTGTTTTTTTTCCTTAAGTGTTTTTACTCGATTCACAAACTATTATGACTCATAAATATTTTACTAACAAAACTTGCAACTTCAATCTTTTTTCTTTTAACATTTTTTCTCGTAGTTGTATGACTTTTCTTTGTAATATTATGACTTAATTTTGAGATTATTACAACTTTCAACTCAAATAATTTTGTCTTGTAAATGTTTGATTTCAGACTTCAATCTGGAACTGCTACTTTTCTCAGCTTTATTTTCTAAATATTATGACTTCATTCACAAAATTTTACCACTTTTTCCTTGTGTTGTTTTGACTTTATTCCCTAAATATTACAACCTTTCCTTGTAATGTACTGTAATGTCATGTATAATATAGTATAATGTACCTGTTAATTTTTAAATATGACTGAAATCACAAAGTATTCAACTTTTTTTGTGAATATTTTTACTATATTCACAAAAAAGGTTGAAACACGTTGGTCTCACAATATAGTTTCTCTCTATACTAGTGTAGTGTTTTTCTTTTAAACTTGTCACAAGTGACGGATGTAAACAACTCACCGAACGAGCGACAAAATACAGAAGCCTGTATTTAATGGACACTAACGAGGAGATTCACAGTTTATCAGAAATGTGGTTTCTGCAGCTGTTTCAAAATAAAAGCTCAAGCAGAAAAAGGTCAGGACAGGGTAAATACAATACAAATAGTACAAGACTGTTAGATATGACTATTGTATGAAGTCATATGACATCATACCAGCAGGGTAATCAGGGCTGGATATTTCCTTATTGTTAAAGCACAACAATACCTCCACCATCATCATCATCATCATCATCATCGTCATCGTCATAATTCTCATCACCATGTGTGTCTCTGAGTTCAGTAATGTCCCATATCTCATGACTGAAGTAAATAAAAACACACCACACACGTTACTGTTGGACCACCATCACGGGGCGAGCAGTAGATCTGAAATGAAATGATACTGTAGATTAGTCATTCAAGTCATTTATGAAGTAGCAATGCCACATATTTCCTGGTTTTGGCTTCTCAGTTTTGCTTGTTTTATATTATTGTAAATTGAATATTCTTTGGGTTTAAACTGTTGTTTTTATAAAACAGACATTCTGCAGTTGTCAGTTTGGGTTCTGGTAGATTTTGATGAACATTTTTCATTATTTTCTGATGTTTTATGAACAATTTGATGACTCAATTATCAGTAAACAACTATTTAATCCTTAATGAATAGAAATGTTACAGTATTAGCTGCAGCCTGAGCTAGCAGCTAGCATTAGTAGACTGAAAGATGAAGATGATTTAACGAACAGGGCATGAAACTGTGCTTAGCTGCCAGGAAATTAATGTCAGCTAAAAACACATTAAGCTAACATAACATGGAGGGCAGAGCTAACAGTGATACAACATCAGCTAAAGCTATCCTAAGCCACCTATTAGTTAACAAGGCTAGAGAGCTCAAAGCTAACATGATATTAGCAGGGCTAAGGTATCAATGATCATCAGCTTCAACATCAGCTAACAGTGCACAGAGCTAACATAACATTAAAGTGGCAAAGATATTGAAGTCCAGTATCCTCTACCAGGGCAGAGCAATGCTAAGCTACCTGTGACTCAAAATTAGCTAACAGGGCAAGAAGCTAATATAACATTGGAGGAACAAAGCTAACGCTGAAACACTTAAAAATTGCCTGAAAGGGCAAAGCTAAAAGGGAATGAAGCTAACTTTACATCACAGGGGCAAAGCTAATAGGCTATAAAGCTACTTTACTTACCAAGAAGCTAATGTAATGGTAGATACACAAAGCTAATACTGACGCAATCACACATTTGCTGAAAGAGCAAGAGCAATGAACATCAGCTAACAGGGAATGAAGCTAACGTAACATTACAGGGCAAAGCTTATTAAGAAATATCACATGAGTCGCTGTGCTGATATTCAGTTCAACATCATGACCTCGAGTGTGATATTGCTTTTATACAACAGTTCTACAAGCGCCGTTTTAGTTAAATAAGCAACAACAGATTATGATTTGTTGGTTTATTTTATCATTCATTTGGCTACGACAACACCAATAGCTCCGCAGAAGCTAACATAACTTTAGAGGGGCAAAACTAGCGATTCAACATTTAACAGGACCCGAGCTAACGTAAGCTTTGAGGGAAAGAATATCTAACGTAAACTAGTTAGCAGGAAGCTAGCTCAATAAATTATCAGAATTTCTACAGTTTGTTAAAGACATTAGGGATTTTGCCTCTAATAAAAGGCTTTTAAGTAATTTATGGTTTTGGATTCTTCTCAGTAAATCATGTTTGAAATAATAACCAAACTTTCTGTAAATAGCTCAGTTTTTTTAAAACTCTTTATATAAGATATGTGACCACATGTAGAGACTCACAGAGCTCTCAGTCTGGGTAATGAACAGCTCAGTGTCTGAAAACACGCTCACATATAAAGATATATATTTCTGAGTGTTAGTTAATAAATGAAGTGAATGAAGACTGCGTTCAAAGCGCAGTAATACAAACCTGAATGTGTGCGTTAAAGCAGTAAAAGCCAATCAGCCGTGACTCTGTTGGTCTGGTCAGAGTAAAGGAACATTCTGCTAAAATGAGCCCAAACAAACCCTCTCTGTGTGACCGGGCTACCTGTCGACAATGTTGTAAAGCTTCACACACACACACACACACACACACACACACACACACACACACATTAACAGGCTTTATGGCGTGTTGAGAAAGTTCCTTAACAACCAGTATATTCAACCTGCAGACGACACACCCTCCCTGTGTGTGCTGGAGACAGAGACAGCCTGTCTCCCCTTCCTTTCAGACCGGAGCCCTCCTGAGTGGAAAGACGCTACCTGCCGATAGTTATCAGGCTCTCAGAGAGCAGAAAATAGACGGGCTCAGATAAGGAAGAGAAAAGAGAGGAGAGAGGACGTCATGGCCGCACACAAACACAACACAACAAACGATGTCCCTGTCCCTCCGAGCCAATCAGAAACACTGATGTCACCATGTTTTGACTTGTAGCTGAGTAAATTTTTAAAAACAGATGTTGGTTTAAAGCCACTGGTTACTTCACCCCCACAAAACATTACCAAAGATTCAGCTATTTGTAAAGCTTTACACTACACAGTGGATTAGATTAGATTAGATATTGACATGACATATTCATGATTAGGTAGCGTCGCATTAATGTCATGTTTAGCTTTGTTAGCGTGGTGTTGACATCACACAGGTTTTTTTTCAGTGTATGTTTATTGTACACATGACCAACAAGATCGGTGACATACTGTGGGAAAAACCTACAGTGGAGATATCAGATGAAAACAACGTGAATTATTGTTTTTATTTTTGATAAATCTTACGATCATTGTCCAGTTTGTCGAGAAAATGTCATAAAATAGTGACACAAACATATAGTTTCCTATCATATGTTATTGCAACCAAAAACATCCAATTCCCACATTTTAGAAGAGAATAATTGACATTTTTTGCTTAAAATATACTGATATAGGTTGTTAAATTAGCTGCAAATCATTTGTACAGATACATGTAGTAGTTGTTTAAACTCTACGACGACGAGCAGTTGATGTCAACTGACCCATCCAGCACCTTTGGGATGAACCTTGAACCAGACCTTATCCTCCAGCGTCAGTGCCGGACCTCGCTGATGCTCACAGATCCTCACATGGGTTCGGGTCATATAAGTAACCACTGGTTTTCTCTAACCAGCTATTTTTGAAATTCCCAGAGAACCGTTTAAAAACACTGTTGTTCTGAATGTCTCAACTCTGTTTCCTGTCCAGGTAGAAGAGAAGCCATCTTTGTTTTGATCCCGAAACAGTGAGAGAAACAGAGTTGCAGCTTCAGAAAGAAGTTAAAAAAATCTTTCATTAATTACATTTAGAGATGTGACACAAACCTGTGCTCATACATGAGGGTTGTAAACTGTGTCCACATACTTTCTGCCAGGTTTCTTCTTTGCTAGAAGTCATGTAGGAAGCTTGGTAGAGGTCATTGAAAGTCCTGGAACTTCAGAGCAGAGCAGGGAAAGCTGGTTCATTCATTCATTCATTCATTCATTCGTTTATTCATTCATTCTTTTCTTGCTTTCTCTCTTTCCAGTAACTTCCACTCCCGTCTTGTTTCTCACTCAGGTGTGTGTTGACTCATTCCTTTCACCAGCTCTTTGAAGGAGGCGTGAAGTCCTGTGTGTGTGTGTGTGTGTGTGTGTGTGTGTGTGTGTGTGTGTGTGTGTGTGTGTGTGTGTGTGTGTGTGTGTGTGTGCTACCCGAGTCCTGAGTAGATGCTTTGTGAAACTAAATGTTTTTATATGTGAAACGTGTGTGTGTGTGTGTGTATTGAATGGTCTCTGTGTGTGAACACAGACTCTGTGGCCGTTTTATGACCTTATGTCTCTTTAATAATTCATGAGTCATTAATGCAGTGTTTGTATTTCAAATTAACTGTTTGGAGCAGGATGTTATTTATTATGATAAAAATCTGAAAACCATTCATAAAAGCTGATGTATATTTTTATTTTTTATCCCCATTGTTGATTTATTTAAATGTATTTTATGACTTATTATTATATTTATTTGTGACTTTACTGCAAAAAGTGTAAAGGTTGAGAAACATTAACAATCACTTCTCTCTCTCTTTTTCTTTGCAGTGATCTGAGTATGAATAATATGACTGTGTTGTCCAGTGGAGCTTTGTCCAACCTGCACTTCCTAGAGGAGCTGTGAGTCACACACACACATACACACACACACACACACACACACACACACACACACACACACAGATTTTCATTCCTTGCTGATATGTCATCATTTACCGTGTTCGAGTCGAGGAGGTGACACCTGATGAAATTCCAGGAATCTCAGTGTGAATCGGAGCTGCGAGATTTCCAGGTTGAACACACAAAGTCTGTTCAACAGTTTACAAACAAACTGGTTACAGGTGCGCTTCATTCAACCGTCTCCTAGAAATTATGTTTATGATTTAGAAAAAGATCCTCGTCTGGTTTAATACAGGAAAACGTCACAGCGACTTCAGACTCAACGTCTTTACATTTAAAGCTCCTCCAGTGTAAAGGTCTGTGTCCATGTGTAGTGTGATTATAGATCAGGTCTAGCTTCTATATTAATACTGTGAAAGTATCAAAGCCTCAGTCCACAGAGAAATGCACACAGCCTGTATTCAAAAACTGAGCTCAGAGCCTCCTCTCTTCTGATTGGCTCACCGACAGTTCAACACCTTATTAAGCTCTTTAAAAAATCATCATCTCAAACACCGTGATATGACTCTTTGTAGTAGAGAAATATAAGAGATCTTATTGCTGGGCGATATCACGATTATGATTAATGAACGATTCTCTTTTTTTTCTTTGAGCCACAAACTGGTGGTGTCACATTCAGGCGCAGAAATTGTTTTTCTATTGTTTTCTCGCCTTTCCTGATGACAGACACGGCCTTCGTTTTAGGTCTGAGCTCCTGGGATCGAGGCTTAGTGTTTATGCATGATATGAGCGTCTGCAGTGAGGGTGTGTGTGCGGCCGAGCAGCTCAGATATCTGTGAGGATACGATATGTAATCCCATCTGTCCTCACCTACCTAAGGCTGGATTACCAGCTGGGCAAAACAGGCAACACTGCCCCCGGGGCCCAAGACCCCACGGGGCCCTGAAATCCCCTGGCTTCATTCCACATCAGTATGTAACATCTAAATTATTTCATAAATTACAAATCAGATCTTTGTCAAAATCTACTTTTAAAATCATTACATTTTTTAGTTTGCATTTTGCACATTTGAAGGTGTCAGGTAATTGACACATAAAATAAACCTCCTACAAAGTCATATTATTCAATCATTATCATTAATATTGTAAGGGTGCAGACAACCTTTATTTTCAGTAGATCTGACACTTAATTTTTATAGTAAACAGTGGATTGTTTGGTGTAAAAAATGTACAAAAATGAATTCACCTTTATTTCCTGAAGTCTATTCAAATGGCTTGTTTTATCTGACCAATGGTTCTATGATTAATTGGGGGAAGGGGATCTGTGAACAAACCCCTGGGAGGTTAAACCGGCGATGCACCCAGCAGCAGTGTCTCTGCAGACGGACGCTGATGGACTAAATTAAAGCTCAGGGTTCGGCCTGTGAACAGCTGACCTCACAGAGACCTGAACATGACTCTGGCTGCTGTTCTGCTCTGCTGCCAGCCATGTGTGTTTATACGTGTGTCTGTGTGTGTGTGATATTTGTCACCGTGGCGTGAGAAACGTCACTACGGCGATAGGACACCGCAAGAGGTGCATGCTGGGTACATGCGGACTGGCTGAACTCTGCGTGGCCTCGAAAAACACACAGACTCTGCAGGACCCATTACAGCCCAGTGTTTTCTGGTAGTTTGAAAGTCAGGACTTAGTGGGAATATCATGTTTACTGGGGAAGAAGATACGTCACCATGTTGATGTTTGACTATTGATATGTAACCAATCACAAATTGGTGCACAGCATATCCCTTGTTGTTGCTGTTATGGAAAGTATTATTTTATTTTTTTACCTTTGTTTTCACCATTTCAACTCTCCCTCTTTCTTTCTCAGGCGTTTGGCGGGAAACGATCTGTCATTCATCCCCAGAGGAGCATTCGCCGGCCTCTACAATCTCAAAGTGCTGTAAGTCCACACACACGTTTCTGTTTTTGTCATTGATGCAATGATTTCCAGAGACACGTACCCTTAGCCTGAAACTTAAAACAGCCCTTTGAAGTTGTGAGGACTGTCCTCATAATGTAGAAAAGTCCTCACAATAAAGAAATGTCACCATAATGTAGAAATGTCCTCATAATGTAGAAATGTCCTTACACTGTAGAAATGTCCTCATAATGCAGAATTATCATTATAATGTAGAAATATCCTCACAATGTAGAAAAGTCCTCACAATAAAGAAATGTCCTCACAATGTAGAAATGTCCTCACAATGTAGAAATGTCCTCACAATTTAGAAATGTCCTCACAATGTAGAAATGTCCTCACAATGTAGAAATGTCCTCACAATTTAGAAATGTCCTCATAATGTAGAAATATCCTCACAATGTAGAAAAGTCCTCACAATAAAGAAATGTCCTCACAATGCAGAAATGTCCTCATAGTGTAGAAATGTCCTCACAATGTAGAAATGTCCTCACAATGTAGAAATGTCCTCACAATGTAGAAATGTCCTCACAATTTAGAAATGTCCCCATAATGTAGAAATGTCCTCACAATGTAGAAATGTCCTCACAATTTAGAAATGTCCTCATAATGTAGAAATATCCTCACAATGTAGAAAAGTCCTCACAATAAAGAAATGTCCTCACAATGCAGAAATGTCCTCATAGTGTAGAAATGTCCTCACAATGTAGAAATGTCCTCACAATGTAGAAATGTCCTCACAATTTAGAAATGTCCCCATAATGTAGAAATGTCCTCACAATGTAGAAATGTCCTCACAATTTAGAAATGTCCTCATAATGTAGAAATATCCTCACAATGTAGAAAAGTCCTCACAATAAAGAAATGTCCTCACAATGCAGAAATGTCCTCATAGTGTAGAAATGTCCTCACAATGTAGAAATGTCCTCACAATGTAGAAATGTCCTCACAATGCAGAAATGTCCTCACAATGCAGAAATGTCCTCATAATGTAGAAATGTACTTATAATGTAGAAATGTCCCCACAATGCAGAAATGTCCTCATAATGTAGAAATGTCCTCATAATGTAGAAATGTCCTCACAATGCAGAAATGTCCTCACAATGCAGAAATGTCCTCATAATGTAGAAATGTACTTATAATGTAGAAATGTCCTCACAATGCAGAAATGTCCTCATAATGTAGAAATGTCCTCACAATGTAGAAATGTCCTCACAATGCAGAAATGTCCTCACAATGCAGAAATGTCCTCATAATGTAGAAATGTCCTCATAATGTAGAAATATCCTCACAATGTAGAAATGTCCTCCTAATGCAGAATTATCATTATAATGTAGAAATATCTTCACAATGTAGAAATATCCTCACAATGTAGAAATGTCCTTATAATGTAGAAATGTCCTCACAATGCATACATGTCCTCTCTAGCATGGTTTAAACTGGTCCTCACAGAGACCGTAACACACACTTGCGGCCACACTGTAATAATGTGGGGTATGTTTACTGGTGCTAATCATTCACAGACACTTTGAAGACGTCCTCGGTCTCGGTTTAGTGACTTTCTGTTGTTTGAAACAACACGTCTGTTCACTGTTCACCTCCCACATGTTTACTCACATCAACAGATCATTTCTGTTGTGTTTCATCCATCACTGTTCACTTTTAACTCACTTTTAATGATTGTTTGCAAAACAAAATCTGTGATATTACAATGAGAATGACAAATGAATGATGAATGACTTTACTAGTGCAAATCAATAAACTGACTGCACACATTTCAACAGAAATAATAATGTGGGGAAAGATTTAATGATACATTTTAAAGTAAATAAATTCCTGCCCAGTAGTTCGAGGCCCCTGCTCTGACAGTAGTTAACTCATCAGTATGTTTTTTGTTTTTTTTTAACATGTTTATAGCAGATTAGATGAGTCGTCATGTGACTATGTTTTAACTGTTTTTACCTTTGTTTCAGGATGCTTCAGAACAACCAGCTGAGGTCGGTCCCTGGTGAGGCGTTCAACAACCTGCACAACCTGCAGTCGCTGTGAGACACACACAGACACACACTCCATCCTTTTATCTCCCTTTACGCTTTGGTGGAAAGGAATCTTCAGTCTCACACACACACACACACACACACACACACACACACACACACACACACGTATATTAATGTATGTAGTTCCGACACTGTGCTCTCAGCCTGAAAACATGCAGTAATTATACTGAAACTGTACCTGTTTGTGTGTGTGTGTGTGTGTGTGTGTGTGTGTGTGTGTGTGTGTGTGTGTGTGTGTGTGTGTGTGAGTGGGTAGATAAGGGTATAAGAATGGAGACGTCTAAGGTCTCTCTCCCATTATGTGAAGTCCCATCCTTCTCTCTCTGGACATGAACAGAGGAGGTATTGTTGGGACAGACAGACAGACAGACAGACAGACAGACAGACAGACAGACAGACAGACAGACAGACAGACAGCTCTCCTACAGAACATGTTTATGTTGCACAACCTGAAGAAAAACCATGAGTTTTCGGACTAGAATGAAAAGGAAAGGGAACCAGGTGAACATTACTGATACTGTTCTTCATTCTTTTCTTTGTACAGACCTAAAGTCTTAATGGGAAGGTGGACCAGAGGGAAACTGAACAGTCTGGAGTCCAGACTTAGACCACGTCCACATTAAAGCCGATTTGCGTCCACATTAATGATTCCGCGTGGTTTTAGTAGAGCTCTGTCCACAGTGAAACACCTGAACAACATGAATATAGTTAAATATCCTCTTTGTTCTATATCGACATTTAAAACGTGATTATAGAAAAAGTTAAAGGTCATAGTTTTGTACATATGTAACACCAAACCTACATTTAAAGTTTTCCACTCTCCAGAGGTCGTTTTTGGGCAGAAAGACATAGTTTTCATCTGGAAATATGGCTGAAACGTAGAGAAAAAGATGTGTTTAACCGGACTTATACAGATGGACTCTCAATTCTGGTCACTTTTTTGGATTTTCCAGGATTGCGTTTTTTAAGATTATTGTTCCGCATTGCAGCCTATTGCAGAGGCAATTCATATGAGAGGCTTTTACTTTGAAAACCAAGGAGGAAGCCAAATTTTTCTGGCTGGTCAGAAAGGGAGTGTGTGTCCACTGAGTAATATTTTTAAGATCTTGACACGATGACAAGAATCAGAGACAGTTTGTTTTCTTGTGCTCATTAAAAGATCATTTTGTGGTCTCATTAAAACAAAAATTTGGAAAAATAAAATATCAAAAAATCATTTTCTAACAATCGTGAGGAAACAACAAGAAAGAGAAAATCATCTTAGTGTGGCTGTTTGGCACTGACTGACACACACAATCCTCTCAGCAATAAGTCTGCACTCATTAAAATACCTTCGTTTTCCCCAAGAGCCTGTTGGCTGGTCGAGTGGTGCTCGAGCAGACGCCGATCATTCCTCTGCACTGGTCAAACACTCGACCTCTAATGTTCCTCTTAAACGGCTTCAAAGTGAATTGAAGCCTCAGAGTGCGACGACGTTTTAGAGTCTAAAGCTGCGACATTTTCTCATACATATTAAAAAAGTAAATGTTTTCTGTTGCTATTATTAAGAATAAGAAATATAAAGCTCAGAATGAAAGTGAAAAATAACATATGATCGGATCAAATTACACTCATAGTGACACTGGGATTTTTTTGAATTATCTTTTTGATTATTATAAAGTCTGGTGATCTTTAGCTGCTGACAATATACAGACTGTAATCTTCAAAAATCAGCTTTGCAAAATAAAGGACAAAAAATGAAATAAGCAGAATAAATACATTTTGCTAATGAAAGAGGATATTTCTATATTGTTTTTTACAATGAAGGAAATCTAATTTTGTTGAGAAACACTTTTGTTTGTTTACAAGAACAAAACTCTACAGGGCACCTTTGTTTGTTTCTAAATCATAATAATGAATAATTCAGAATCTCACACTGTACAACTACATTACCATGCTATATATTATATTACAGGAGCTCTTTGTATGTTTTGCTATTGCTACATAGCTAGCATTAGCATGAACAGCTGTTTACTTACCAGTTTTTCCAAGAGTTTCAGCCATTGTTGTGTTTACAATACAAGAGGTTATAATACGTCCTCTGAGCAGCTAATTCTTCAGAGCAGACTGGACACTACAGTGACTCAGTATCGGAAAGTGGCGAGATGGGCCAACTGGGTCAGGGCTAGCTGGTTAGCATGCTAACTTCAGTAGAAGAACAGCTGTTGGTTAGTAAACGAATGAAGTTTGATGCTGAACTCACAAGGTTTCTTCTAGACTGGTAAGTAAACAGGTGCTAATGGTAATGTTAGCTTTGTAGTGATAGCAAAACTTACAAATAGCTCCCTTAAGAACGAAAACAATTCAACACTATTAAGTAAAAGAATATATACTGTATGAAAAGACAGATAAAATTTAACAATTAAATACAATAATTTCCGTCTATATAAAGTATGTAATGTGTGTATTTCTCTTTTTTTCTGTAGCCGCCTAGATGCTAATCACATCTCCAGCGTTCCCATTGGCTGTTTCTCAGGCCTGCGTTCGCTCCGTCACCTGTGGTTGGACGATAACTCTCTGACGGAGGTGCCGGTGGAGGCTCTGAGCGATCTGCCCGCCCTGCAGGCCATGACCCTCGCCCTCAACCACATCAGCCACGTTCCTGACCACGCCTTCAGCAAGCTGGGCCGCCTGGTGGTGCTGTACGTGCTCCTGAACACACACACACACACACACACACACACACACACACACACACAGATTTGAAAAACAGGAAAATTCAAAATCAAGCAAAGAGATGAACATCTATCAAAATAAATCTATTGGATTTTATTTAATTTTGGAGAAAATCAGTTCAACAAGTTTTAATCTGAGACAACTGGGTGAGTTGGTAGACGACAAGATTAGTTAGCAAGCTAGCCAGTTAGCTCGTTGGTTAGTCAGTGAGTTTGCCATTAGAGTGGAGTAAGACACAGCTGCATCTTAAACTCAAATTTAAATCAATTGATTCATCAAATTAACATCTGTCTGATCAACAGAATTCAAAACATCTGGATTCAAGTGCTCGAATGAATATTTTTCTTGTACTTTTTGCTAATGTTTTTGTTTTTAACGAGTGTGTGTGTGTGTGTGTGTGTGTGTGTGTGTGTGTGTGTGTGTGTGTGTGTGTGTTTGTGTACAGACTGTTGCTAGGAGCTGTTGCTGCATTAAGTTTAACCGTGGCAGCGACTGTCCCTGTCCGTCGGTATTAGCTCCTTAATAACAGTGTAAACTCTCGAGTTTGAGTGTGTGTGTGTGTGCGTGTGTGTGTGTGTGTGTGTGTGTGATGGCATTCAGCGCGGCAGCATTGAAGTCTGCTGTCATTTCCTTTGTCCAATCGGCTTGAAGCTAATTTGCATGAAATTACCAAAAGAAAAAAAAACCTTCTTGAGAGGCCCCGGGGCCCCTTTTAGAAGGATACACACACACACACACACACACACACACACACACACGCACACACACAGTCTTTGTCTGCTTCATTAGTCCATCAGTCTCTCTCTCTCCACAGGCATCTCAACAACAATAGGATCGTTTCCATGGGAACGAACTGCTTCCACGGACTCCACAGTTTGGAGACGCTGCAAGTTTCTGTGTGTGTGTGTGTGTGTGTGTGTGTGTGTTATTTCGGGTGGAGTCACAGCAGTCAGGGTTGAGTCAGGGTCGGGGTGAAGGGTTAAGAGACGACAGAGAAGTTTACTTTATATATTTGTAAAAAATGACCTTAAAGGACCTGTGTGAAGGATTCAGGTGGATCAATATATTGGCAGAAATTCAATACAATATTATGTATAATATAAAACAATATATATAAAATATAATATAATACATAACATACGCTGATGACACAGCTACTGTGTTTGATTGACAGCTCCCTTATCGTCCTTTAGGCCGGGACAACCCAGTTATTTGTTTGGTATGATCACGTAATGTAGCTCCTCTTAACTGTGACCAGACTGGACGTCTAATCAGCCAGAGTGATGGAGAACACCTGTGCAGGTGTGCAGAGGCTTTAATTGGTCATGTGACTTGTTACTGTATCTGTCAAAGTAAAAAGTTGCAATATTTCTCTACCATATGAAGTGAAGCAGAAGTAAGTTACATAACATGGAAATACTGAAGTCCAGTTACCTGAGAGTAAATGTAAATGTAGATTAAACCAATGGGGTTTCTGCTCGTACCAGTGAGCATGTGATCGGGTCTTTCAGAGTCTTTGTGGATATTAACTGGAGTCGGGGCAGATTAACCTGTGTGTGTTTATGTTAGTGTGTGCGTCTGCATGAATTAGTGTGTGTGTATAATCTGAGGAATGTGTGTGTGTGTGTGTGTGTGTGTGTGTGTGTGTGTGTGTGTGTGTATAGAAATGTTTCTGTTTTCTCAGTCAACCAGAAAGGCAGGTTTAAACATACAAACACACACTGCCTTCATTTGGAAATACTTCTGTGTGTGTGTGTGTGTTGGACTGGCTCTGTGTGTGGCCCTGGCTGTATGCTAATCATAATCACTATTCATGCACACGCACACACACACACACACACACACGCATACACTGTGTGCGTGTGTGTGTGTGTGTACCTGCACGATCAGCAATAATAAACCACACCGGGGCCTCATGTTCATCTGAAACTACAAACACAAACAGAGAGAGATGAAGAAAACGGAAATGAAAACAGAACAAAATAAATTAATACAACCGGCTCAGCTCCGACGTAAAGGAACACACACATCTACTAACGTCAGTGTGTCGCTCAGCTGTGGTGGAGGCCGAGTCTCGCCCACCTCGGCTTCACCGAAGCCCCGTCCCTTTTTGCCCAAGTTAGGATTTTCTGGTTCCAGTAAGTGATGAAAATGGTGCCGAGCAGGAAACCCAAAAATCCAGCTTTAAAAACACGTCTTGAGAAACCTCAGAGGCGCCACAGAAATACTGTGTGTGGGCAGCACAAGCCCCACGAAAACCACAGGGACGGAAAGATTCTCCAGAAAAAGGGTTAATATCTTTTACTTTTCACATTTGAACTGTCTTATATCAGCTTGTCAGTCATTTGAGTTTAAATAAAGTTTGAACTTGAGTGGCATTTGTCATGGGGAACCAAACCTCTTGTAGTCAAATGAGTTTTACCATTATTTCCAATGATATAGTGAAGCAGGTGAAGCACCTGGTTCCCTAATTCTCCATTTCTGACCATTTCCAGTAAAGTCCTCATATTCCCAGTCAAGAGGTGTCAGTATTTCCAGTCTAGAACTGGTTTTCTAAGTCCAGAGGTGACTTTCCCAATATATAGCTGTACTTCCAATCTAGAACTGGCAGTCCCAGTAGAGAGTTAGCATTCCCAGTCAAGAGCTGATCAATCAAATCTAACATAGCTTGATTCTAGACCTTTGATTCACGATCCACATCTATGATCTTTTAGGTCAAATAGATCTAATGTTGGACCCACTGACAGCCATTTCATTTCCACCGGATAGAGAAATAATAGTCCAATCAGAACTTAGTAGGTGCTAACCCGCATTTCTTTGATTGACTGAAGATTGGCAAGACATCTAAAGGCCTTCATTAGCGGTTAGCTCAGTTGTTGTTTTGGTTGGAGAAAGTTTCAGGAGTCCATTGCCAAAAACAAATACAATGTAAAATCAATGGCCCGTGAAAGCTCCAGAAAAGGCTAGAAAGCAGATAGTGAGTTTCAGAACTCGTCCTTACTTCAAATTGGAAAACAAAGCACCGCAGCGTGATTGGTCCAAATCATTGGTTTGATTCAAATTGCTGAAATTATTTGAGGTTCTACAAACCTCAGCTTCTAACTTCAGTCTGTCAAAAGCTCTCCGGATGTTCCTCAGAACAACACACCTCCACTTGTACCTTTTGACTTTTGATGGCGTCTCATTACTTGTATTGATAATTTAACCGGGAGAGTTTCATGTCCATCCAATCTACAACAGTCACCTCATATTGTCTACAGGAGAACTTACCAGGACTGTTACAGCAGGAACCCTGAACCCCTGATGTAAACCCACCCATTGATACATGCCCTTTGAACCTAATCAGCACATTCAATTTATAACATTGTGATAAGTAAGAGTTTCGGATTTCCCCATGAAACCTCTCGTCCAATCACAACCTCCTGTCAATAATAGCTTTGGAAAGACGATGGCGTTCCAGCTTTTGTTGCTACAAATCATCCTCTGGACACACACATGTTCTCACACACTCAGATCCAGACTGAAGCAATTTCAATTTAATGGTATTTTCACAATGTGGCAGCTTCATTCCACACAGTGTATTTGTGTGTGTGTGTGTGTGTGTGTGTGTGTGTGTGTGTGTATAATAGCCACCTGCATCCCAGAGATGGATGAGAGGAACTAATTGAAGCCATGTGTGGACTCCCAGAATGCTCTAGTCTCCACTGGTGATGAAAGAAAAGAGAAGGAGAGGGAGGCACAGTTAAATGTTTTTTAATAAACTAAAGGAGGGAAAAAAGATTAAGCTAAACATCAAGCTCCAAACACAAACATTTACATGAAACATTTTCCCAGTCCGAGGCCGACGTTCCCACAGCTTTGTAGAGCTGGCCTTTCCATTATAGAGCTTATTTAGAGCCGCCGCTCCCAGTATACAGCTGATATTCCCAATAGGTAGCTGGACTACCAATTTAGAACTGCTACCGCCGGTGAAGGGTTAGCATTCCCAGTTTAGAGCTGACTATCTCCAGTATAGACGTTGTTTTCTGGTCTAGAGCTGACCATTCCCAGTATATATCTGACTATTCCAGTGTTAGTAATCCCGGTTGAAAGCTGACTATTTCCAGTAGAGACATGGTTTTCCAAGTCAAGGTGTGACTTCCCCTCTATAGAGTTGACCGTTGCCAGTCTAGAGTGGACATTTTCATTCTAGGACTGACTATTCCCAATATAAAGCTCGAATTTCCAATCTATACCTGACCATTTCCAGTATGCCTTTGATATTCCCAGTCTAGGGTTGACATATCCCAGTACAGTTAGTATTCTCAATCTAGATCTGAGCTAACCATTCCCAGTATAAGGTTGTTTTTTCCAAATCTAGAGTTTATTATTTTCACTATAGATCTGGTATTCCCAGTGTTACAATTTCCAGTATGGAGTTAATTTTCCCAGTCTACAGATGACCTTTTCCATCATGGAGTTGGTATTTCCAGTCCAGAGCATTTATTCCCACTATACAGTTGGTATTCCCAGTCTAGAGCTGACCATTCCCAGTACAGCTGGTATTCCCAATCTAGAATTAAGATTCCCAGTCCAGGGCCGGCCATTCCAAGAGTGTAGGTGGTATTCCCAGTCAAGAGATGAAAGAGCTGCCCATTCCAATATATAGATCTATTAATCTGGTATTCCACTATCCATCTTAATCGTGTGTGTGTGTGTGTGTGTGTGTGTGTGTGTGGTTTCAGAAACTATGCACTTCACTTTATTGTGTTGTAGATTTTAATTTTAAATGGATAAAATGGAAATTCTTGTCCATCAAAGACGCACACTTGTGTGTATATAATTCACACTGCATGTCAGGACTAAAACCAAACCATGAGGTCCCCAGGAAGTCTCTGTAGACCTCCACAATAAAACTGTGGTGAGGCGAAGATCAGGACGAGGGTATAAACCACTCTGAGTGTTCCCAGGAGAACACTGGCCTCAATAAGAGATCAGTCACTGTTTGATGTTTTCACTTTGTCATTATAGCTTATTAAGAGTGGACTGATGAGCAATGACAAGTTTAACCAGTTAAAATTGAACCTAAAACACAATAAAGTGTATGGAAGACCACTGTATGTCACATGAAAAGTAATAAAACATTTCCTTCATTATATATTTAAATATGTATTAAAAACAATAATTTATAAATGAACGATTAATCAATCAACAAATACCTCAGATTGAAAAATTCATTTACAAAAACAGCATAAAACTCTCATTAAATAAACAATTTATAAATACATTTATTAATTCATGAATAAATAATAGAATTTGAAAAGGTATTTTAAAAATAGGAGTATATTCCTGGATTCCCTTTTCAATTTACATTTCCTTTTTCCAGCTGCTTTTCCTTTTCCTATTAGCTAATCGCTTAGCTTAGTCATTTAGCTTCTCCTGTTAGCCTCTCCATTTAGCCTTTCTGTGACACTCTGGGTCTTCAGTGCTGGTAAAACCCACTGGTTAGTTCTCCAACCAATCAGAGACCTTGTCACATCCCATGGTCAATTGGGATTGTTTATCCTGGTTTTACCAGCACTGAATGTCACGCAAAGGCTAAAAGGAGAGGCTAACTGACTAAGCTAAATGATTAGCTAATAGGAAGAGCAGCTGGAAAGAGGAAATGGAAATTTAAGAAGTAAACCAGGATGATGAGTGTTTTATGCTTTTTTTGTAAATCCATTTTTAAATCTGAAGTATTCGTATGTTGGATTAATTGTTAATATATAAATTCTTTTTTCAATTCCCGTTTTTAATGCTTATTAGAATATGAAATTAAGGAAATGCTTGATTACGTTTCCCGTGCAAGAAGTTACAGGGTCTGAATACTTCCTGAATATATCAACCATATCGCTGTAATATTGTCTCTCTCTGTCTCTCTGTCTCTCTCTCTCTCTCTCTCTCTCTCTCTCTCCCTCTCTCTCTCTCTCTCTCTCTCTCTCTCTCTGTCTCTCTCTCTCTCTCTCTCTCTCTCTCTCTCCCTCTCTCTCTCTCTCTCTCTCTCTCTCTCTCTGTCTCTCTCTCTCTCTCTCTCTCTCTCTCTCTCCCTCTCTCTCTCTCTCTCTCTCTCTCTCTCTCTGTCTCTCTCTCTCTCTCTCTCTCTCTCTCTCTCCCTCTCTCTCTCTCTCTCTCTCTCTCTCTCTCTGTCTCTCTCTCTCTGTCAGGGATTTGAACTACAACAGTCTGGTGGAGTTTCCCACGGCCATCCGTTCACTCAGTCACCTCAAAGAGCTGTGAGTCCAACAATCTGTGTGTGTGTGTTTGAGACAGTCGGCATGAATCCCTGATAGATTACAGTGGCTCACTTCCACTGCGGCGCACGGTGCACTGGCATGAACACTGTTCATATGCTCTTGTTTCCTGTTTAGTGGTTTCCATAGTAACAACATCCAGTCGATCCCGGAGCACGCCTTCACGGGAAACCCGTCACTGATCACCATGTAGGTACCGCTGACTCTGAAAAACAAATCCCACCTGAGAAAACGTCTTGAAAAAATCTCAACTTAAGGCCCACTTACTCGCTTTCAGAGGAGCTTTCAGCTGTATTGAACTTCTCATCTGTGTTGGGTTAAGAGATAAGCTGCTAAAAGGATTGATGAAATCATAACAGCTACCCCCTCTGATCCATCTCCATGGAAACGAAGCAATCTCCATCCAGTGATGAAGACAGTATGATATGGGTAAAAGCTCAGGAAGCTTGTTGGTTTTGTCAAACTACTGTTTGAATAAATTTCATGCTGATGTGTCTATTATTTTATTATTAGATAGATAGATAGATAAAATATAATAGCTGAACATATACCTAGCAGAAAATAAAATGATTAAAATCTGAGGTTTTTCCAAAGCAATTCTGACATTATCAGACTAAATCTAGAATAAACAGACAATCGATCACAATGTTTTCGACAGTTGTTGCTCATCTTATTGTCATTAAGTTTTTCTGTGCTGAATGTGAGATGATGATGCCTGTCGTCTCTGTGTTTTGCAGATTTTTCTATGACAATCCGATCCAGTCTGTCGGACGCTCGGCCTTTCAGAACCTGCCAGAGCTTCGCACACTGTGAGAAAACACACACACTTTCAACACACACAACACAGACAATTAATCAATAAACTGTTTTTTAAAACAGAAGAGAAGAGGAGGAGAGAGGAGGCTCTGAGGCTCTGATTGGCTGACTGTTTTCTTAGTGATCCAATAAAAATATAGCAGATTTCAGGTAAAAACACTCAGAGAACCCAAATCCTGCAAGGTTTGGATGGTGGGTCCAGGTGGGCGGGGCTTGGTGACTGCTTTGTTGTGACATCACAAAGTTCCAGAAGTCCTGACGGCTGGTTTTAAGGCTCAGTTTCTGAATACAGGCTGTGTGCATTTCTCTGTGGACTGAGGCTTTGATACTTTCACAGTATTAATATAGAAGCTAGAGCTGATCTATAATCACACTACACATGGACACAGACCTTTACACTGGAGGAGCTTTAAATCTAAAGCTAATTATACAATGAATGTAATTAAAAGGGTCAATATTTCTCTGTTTCTCTCTCAGATCTCTGAACGGAGCCGCAGATCTCACTGAGTTTCCAGATCTGACAGGAACCAAGAGTTTGGAGAGCCTGTAAGACACACACACACACACACACACACACACAGAGGAATGCTTCATATCTGAGTGTGTTTGCTGTTGTAGCCGACATCAGTGTGTGTGTGTGTGTGTGTGCGTGCGTGTGTGCGTGTGTGTGTGTGTGTGTGTGTGAGCGCTGTTATTAATACACTACAGTTGTTATTATTCTCTCTGACAGAGTGTAACTTTATTTTCCTGCAGCTCGGGCCTGAAATTAAAACCCTCTTCTGCGTCTCCTTGTTGTGACCCACTTTCCCGTGTCATAATAAACACCTTCACCGTGTTTGTTTTCTTGTATTTTTCCGTTTTAAGCTCGTGTCTGAGAGCGTAGCATGTGTGTTCAACAGTAACCTCACGCTGAACCAGTAGGTGGAAATAAAGACTCCAGTCAAACAAACCGTCACACATTCTTCAACTCTCTGTTTTGAAACGATCCCTCCTGGTGAAACTCTGCTCCGACCAAACATCCTGCTTCAGTTCGACATCAAGTCAAGTCAAATCTGACTGATACAACAACATAACACAAGAAAATCCCTCTTAGAATGCACCTGAACGCACCTAATCCAGCTAAGCACATCACAGTACAACTTTGATGCACCTGAACACACCATAATTCTTTTTAAACGTTCCTAAATGCACCATAGAACAATGTATTACACCTTTAATGCACCTGAACACACCATCATAGTTACTAAATACAGATTAACACATCACTGTACAATCAAACGCACCTATGATGCTCCTGAACTCACCATAATTCCCTTAAACACATTATCATATATCGTCTATGCTCCTGAATACACTGTAGAAAGTTCAAATACACCTGAAGCGCACCTGAACACATCACAGTACCGCATTGTGTATTTTTGATGCATCTGAACGCACCATTATGCTTCTTAAATACTCCCGAACACATAATAATACTGTTAAATGCACCCTCTGTGCACCTGAACACACCATAAAACAAGCTCTTATTCTCCTGTGCACCTGAACACACCATAATCCACCTTAATACATTATAATATATTTTTGATGCACCTTTTCACAGCATTGTTATTTATCTTAACTACCAGGATCCATCAAGGTCCCAGACGCAGGATATGAAATGTGTAAGTGCTACAGATCTAACATGTTTCTTTGTGTGTGTGTGTGTGTGTGTGTGTGTGTGTGTGTGTGTGTGTGTGTGTGTGTGTGTGTGTGTGTGTGTGTGTGTGTGCGCAGGACTATCACAGGGGCTCGGATCACCTCTCTGCCCAGTTCAGTGTGTGAGCAGTTTCCAAACCTGCAGCTACTGTGAGTCCAAACACAAGCCTCATTCACTTTATATATATATGTATATATATATGTATATATGTATATATAATGTATATATATATACATATATGTATTTATTTTTTTAATGTCGTGCTCCTGTTCACGCCCTGTGATGCGTTCAGTGTGTTTTGGATTTAACAGTGATGACAACTGAAACTCTCTCCCTGCAGTGATCTCTCCTATAATCAGATCCAGACTCTTCCCAGTTTCTCCGGCTGTGAAAGTATCCAGAAGATGTGAGTTTGATTTTTTACATTCATTATAATTTTACTTTTAATTTAAATTTTCTTTGTTTTTCTCAATCACTTTTTTTTTCTTTTTTTCTTTTTTTTTTTTTTTTTGAAGCATCAGGTACAACTTTTCTGACCTGTAACGCTTTAAACACGCTGCTTCACAGTCACTGGATCTCAGCAGTTACCGTGGCAACCAATCAACTACAGCCAGCTGTGCATTATGGGAATAATTAGCACCATTGTAGTTCAATCAGAAAGAGAAAAAAAAAACTGATAAAAGTGACGTAATGGAAACATCGGGGTCGTGTGTGTGTTTCAGTGACCTGCACCACAACGAGATCGAGGAGCTGCAGGAGAACACCTTCCACGGTCTGATGTCTCTGTGCTGTCTGTAAGCACACACACACACACACACACACACACACACACACACACACACACCCACACACACACACACACACACACACACAGACATGTTTAATTACCCGGCTGATCCTGAGCAGTGATCTGAAGGCCTCTTTAAATACTTCAAAATGGAAACACACTCACAGACCCAGGTGGTCTGTGTGTTGATGGGACAGGTATGAGGACGTGGTCTGGCACAGATTCAGGACTCCGCACTGGAACACCACAACTGATGCTGGTTCTTAGTGACAATAACATGGATTATAGATTAGAAAAAATATTTAATTTCCATCAGTTCAGTAAGATTTAAATATTTTTTGTACAGTTTACTCATGTGTAAGAATTCAAGTTTGAAGTTAAAGCTTCACTAAAGCTGATCTTTTCTCATGAAATGCTCACGATGTGAAAGGTTCTGAAAGCTACGATAAAAATGAACGTGTGAAATTCAGGTTTTCACAAATAAAAATGTATAAAATGCTTCATACATCGGTGGTTTCCACATGTGATAAACATCCTATTTTCTTTAGCACTGCACATACTTCAGTGGTTTATGAGTTTCCCATGAGATGCATTACACTGAAATATTCAGTTGTTCAGGCAACAAAAACATAGTTTGGTAAATGTTGATGTGAAACTTTTGTCTCAAAAGACACAAGATTAAAACAAAACTCACATTATTTGCTTTTTCTTTATTTCTTTTAGAATATTTTTTGTTTTTCTAACATATTTCTTTTGAATATTTTTTGTTTTTTTGTCGATTATTATTATTATTATTATTTTTCTTTTAGAATTTTAGGAATATTTGCCTGTGATTTATACATTTGGAAATTATTCTAATTGGTTTTCTATATTTCTGGACAGTGTCCAACATGTTAGAGGATGTACAGTATACAAAGCATTCTGGAGGCTGATGTGGATTTTTGTGTCTTTTAGCACTTGTGTCCTGGTCAGAGTTTTATACATGACACAATAATATTTCATATAAGAAATATATACTATAATAATATAGTATAGTAATAAATATAGTTATAATAAATACTTAACTAATACAAATTCTAGACGACGACAGCTGCTGTTTTCCTTATGATGGATGAAACTGCAGATGTTTTACTTTGGGTGGATTATCTCTTTAACTATAACACGAACATAAATTCAGTTCCACTCAGTCGAGCCTCTGTGAGCTTCATGACTTACTTTATTCTGGTATTACAGAAATAAGAGTATTATACACTCACTTACTCTCAGTCTGGGATTAGAAACAAAGACTGGCTGTTCCATGAGACCTTGTGGTGGCTCTGCTCCGCAGTTTTCTGCAGGATTAAATTAACTGAACTAAACTCAGGATGGGAGTTTGATGCTGGTTCGATGCCTTATCGACTCTCTGTGTCTCTGCAGTGATTTGTCGTGGAACAGGTTGTCGACAGTGAGGCCGAACTCGTTCTCCGCTCTGCCCGCTCTCACCAAACTGTGAGTATCAGATGAATTTATCAAAACAACCTTCAGGTCTTTGTTAGGCGCCTGAAAGATGGCTGAAAGTCCTCCTGTCTCTCTCCTGGTTGTATACTGACAATTAAAGGCAAAAAAATTAACCAAAAATCATCTTTATAATCAAAGGAGTGAATATAAAAGTCACATGACTTCAGTCAAAAACTAAAGAAGGATAAAACGTGGAGGACCAGAGACCTGTACTGGAAATCTCAGAGGGTCATGGTCATGAAAATGAAATAATTTAATCGTGGAAAATTCCTTCTCTCTCTCTGCAGTGACCTGTCCTCCAATCAGCTGTCCTCTCTGCCTCTGATTGGTCTGCAGAGTTTAACTCACCTGCGATTGGCTGGAAACGATCAGCTGATGGAGTTAATACCCCGAGAGGACCTGCCCCGGGTCAGGTAAACACACACTGGTATAAAACACACATCTACAGTCCAGACTGATGATAAGAGGAAGGTGTGGAGAAATTCAGCTCTAAACTCTGGTCACTGTGTGTTTAAAGGTCTTTATCTGCCACACAGTTCTGTATATATTGACGTAAACCTGCTCAATCTAAGGCTGAGACTTGGCTCTTTAATCTGTTATTTGATTTCAACCTGAATGAGCTGAAGCTAAGAGCCTGAGGAACAATCACTGTCCAAATACTTACGGCCTGGTCTGTACATAAACAAAGGAGTGTTTTCTGCATTAAGACTCATTCCAGTTAATCCATGGCTCACGTACCATAACTGAAACATGAAATACCAAACAAAACGTTGCCTGCTGTGATGCTGGACCTCCAGCATGGCTGCTTGATGGAGGGCGGAGGGGAGGGGCGTTTGGTGACATCACCAACAGCCCCGTCATCCTTAAACTGCAGCCGAGACGGACCTCACAGATTTTCCCACCCTGTGTTCGACCCCAGCGGTCGCAGCAGCGTCGTAACGTTCAGAGTTATTGTTAGCTCACAGCGCCTCCCCTACATCTCCTATCACCTGGGGGGTAAATCTCTAAATTACACCAGTAATCCAAACACCGCCTGTGTGTGATTTAGTGGAATTTCCTTTAATTGGAAAAGGTCTCGATGTCGTGTATTTTAAAAGATTTAAAGGGACATTCTGCTGGTGTAATAAAGTTAATTTATCTGGGCATTTGGATGCTGGAAGTGACAAAAGTGTAAAAGGTGTGTGTGTGTGTGTGTTCAGGGTGATGGAGCTGCCTTACGCCTTCCAGTGTTGTGCCTTCGTCTCCTGTGAGAGGAGAGGAGGAGGTGGAGGTGGAGGAGGTGGAGGAGGTTTGTCCTGGGAGAGAGAGGAGGCGGCGGACTTCACCGGGAGAGACACCTCCGTCCTCTCCAGCCAAGGTGACACCAAACACACCATCACATCTCAACAAGGCTACAGCTGCACTCAGACTGAAAATAGAACTGCAATGTCAATGTACAGATAGAAAAACAATGTACAAGATTATTGGTTATCAAAGAAAGGTTGAATCGGGGGCACCTGGACTTGGTTGTCGATACTTGAAGATGTTTCCCGTACGTGGACAGACCCCTCTTACTATTACAAAATGCAGAATTTAACTGCACAACAGCTGCTAGCAAAGACGACAAGGTAATTTGTTATCCATGCTTCAATCACCTGTGGTAGTTGTTTGTTTTCATCTGGAGAAGCATCACATGATAGGAGCGTGACGAATCAGGGAAGGATACATCATGACTAGAATCTGCAGAGCTCCTGATATTTCAACACAAAACAAACCAAAGATGAACTGAAGAAAAACTGAAGAAAACCTGAAGATGAACTGAAGAAAAACTGAAGATGAACTGAAGAAAAACTGAAGATGAACTGAAGAAAAACTGAAGATGAACTGAAGAAGAACTAGAGATGAACTGGAGACAACCAGTCGGTTGGTTTTATTTCCATCAGAGTTGTTTTCTGCTCCTCTCAACCATGAGCTTTATACAAAATGGCGGGTTCTTCCGCTGGGGAACAAGAATACACTGAGTAAATAACATGTAGATTTAGCTGGTACTTCAGGTTTGTGGACCAAAGTGTAAGACAAACCCTCCAGAGTTGTACAAATATGCCGTTAACCCACTCAAAGACTTCTTCTATCCCCGCTGTGTCTTGGCAGTAGATCAGGACTGGGAGGATTTACTGATTGAGTTTGAAGACGAACCAAAACCTCAACACTCGGTCCACTGCAGCCCTGCGCCAGGTAACACAAACACTAAAGGATAGACCCTCAGACGTTGAGTTTACCTCAACACGTGTTACATGAAATACTTACTACTTACTTACTGAAATACTATACTACTATAAATCATTTTACTTATTCTAAATTAGATTTTATTTATGTTGTAGTACAATAAATAATGTGTGGTTTAAATTTCCTGCAGGACCGTTTCGTCCCTGCCTCCATCTGCTCGGCAGCTGGTTGATCCGTGGCGGGGTGTGGCTCATCGCAGTGCTCTCATTGGTCAGCAACAGCCTTGTCGTGCTGTCAATCTTCTTTTCCACCGCCACCTCGGTCACGCTGCCCAAGCTGCTGATTGGTCTGCTGGCGCTGGTGAACGGCCTGATGGGGGTGTGGTGCGGCTGGTTGGCGGCGGTGGACGCTTGGACGTTTGGGAGCTTCTGGAGGTATGAGGGGGACTCTTGGAGTACTGGGGACTCTGGGGGTTGTGTGGTGGATTCTGGGTAATCTGGGGGGTGTGGGGACTCCGGGGTTTATGGTGACAATTTTGACTATGTGCAAAAACTGACCAAATCGGTGAGATTGTCTATTTTGACCTGCAACGATCACATCAAAGCTCAGTCTGCGTTAAAAACTCCCAAAATGTACTTCATGAGCAAAAAATTTCTAAATAAAAGTCCCACAGACGAAGGGAGAAAGGCCCTTGAACTTCATCTGTTTGTGCTTGTGTTGCAGGTACGGGGCAAAGTGGGAGAGCAGCTTCCTGTGTCGACTCAGCGGCTTCCTGTGCGTGTTCGCGTCGCAGACCGGCCTCTTCCTGCTCACCGTCGCAGCTCTGGAGCGATGCCTGGCCGCCGCCACCGCCACCACAGGACGCAACAAAACTGACAAACACAGTGGTGAGGAACATGGACGTAAATTTTAGCATCAGTTGTCATGAGTTCGGGTTTGAAAGATGTTTTCTGATTTCATTCATCTCTCTCCAGGTCACGCTTCGTCTCTGCTCTTCGTCCGTCTGTCCATTGTTCTGTGTTTCCTGTTGGGTTTGGCCGTCACACTGCCCCCCCTGGTGGCCGGACACAGCAGCACCTCCCTCTGTTTGCCACTGCCTTCCTCCACCTCCTCCTCCTCCCTGGCCTTCTCCGTCTCCCTGGTGCTCCTCGACTCGCTGTGTTTCCTCCTCATGACGGTCGCTTACACTCGCCTCTACTGCCGGGTCAACAAAGCTCCACCTGCCTCAGAGGAGGAGGCGGCGCTGACTCGACACGTAGCCTGGCTGCTCTTCTCCGACTGCCTCCTCTACCTCCCTGTGGCCTTCCTCTCCTTCTCCTCCCTGCTGCGCCTCCCCGCCGCCGGGCCAGAGGCGGCAAAGGGGGTGCTGCTGCTCGTGGCGCCGCTGCCGGCCTGCATCAACCCGCTGCTCTACCTCCTCTTCAACCCACTCGCCAGGGAGGAGCTGGCAGCGCTGGCCAAACGCACCTGCGGGGCTATGGCGGTACCTAGACTACACATGGGTGGAGGAGGAGGAGGAAGAGGAGGAGGAGGAAGGTCGATGCCTGTAATGATGGATTCAACGTACGACGAGGACGCAGAGAAACAATCGTGTGACTCGACTCAGGCGCTGGTGGCAGTCGGAGGCTTAAAGGAGGAGGAGGAGGAGGAGAGAGGAAGGATAAAGAGCGAGACACAACATTCAGTAGCAATCGTTGTTCCACGTCACTAGACTGACACACACACAAACACACACACACACACACACACACCCACACACACACATATATATATACATTGGGTTTGAAGCTCTCACCTGCAAAAGGACAAACATCGTTTGCAGGGGAAAACTTACTTAAGGGTGTTGTTGCACAGAATATCTTAAAAGTTTTCCTTAGTTAAGGAAAAATTTTAAGGCTTTTGCAGCAGTGAAAGAGATTTTACAGCATTAAATTTCTACTGTATCGTTAAGGGTGTCTCCTGGTTGCAGCAAACTTCCTGAGACGTGTCCATTTTCATTTATCGCCATAAACTCGGCCACTCAGCCACTTTGCTCTCTAAGGCCTTTAGCTGACTAAGTGAATCCTTAAATACAACACCAAGTTAACATTTTCAATGAAACCTTAAGGAGAAGACTTAAGGTTGTTTTGTGCAACTGTTTTACTTAAGGAAACCTTAACTCAGACATTAAGGAAGATCTTAACTTTTGATGTTTAAATGTTCCTCATTTAAATCTCAGTTCAGACCAAACGACTTTTCGACTGTGTGAAGTTTTCTTCAATAACAGAATCTCTAAATCAAAACATGCATCAGATTTTTATAAACTTTACTAATCACATTTCTGCGTCTTAGAGGATGAACCCTTTAGATTTTTCCTGTTTCCTGTTTCCTGTTTCTTCTGAATACTTTCATATCGTGGCTGTAACGGACACCGCAGCCTGTAGGGAGCTCCTGTAGGACTTTGGCAGGTGAGACAAAGACCTAATCTTAGGACACCACACACACACACACACACACACACACACACACACACACACACACACACACAGTTACAGATACACAAGTAAACTGATATGACTGTGTGGCAGCAAATGTAGCAGAGGACGGTGAAAGAAAACAAAAGAAATGAAAGCATGTGAAGGTGCTCACCATGAGCACACTGCCAGTTTGACTCCAACTCTCTCTCTCTCTTTCTCTCTTATTGTCTGTCTTTGTCTCTCTACCATTTTTTATCTTATTTGTTTTAACGTCCCATAAAGACGAAAAATCGATCAAAAACTAAAAGATGGATCAAAATCCATGAAAAAACTGAAGAACTGGGTGGCATCCTGCTAATGTCTGATTGGTCAATCACATGCCAGAGGACACACACACACACACACACACACACACACACACACGTATAATATGGAGCGTGAATTCAGCAGCTTTTATTTTGAAATATGACATGATTTACAGCATTGTGTGACCAAACATCCTACCAAATGTTTTAGCAAATGCTGTTTACCATTTTCTTTATGTGTGTGTGTGTGTGTGTGTGTGTGTGTGTACGTGTGTATGTGTACGTGTGTGTGTGCGTGTGTGTACGTGTACGTACAGCTAATGTGTTTTAGCGTGTGTGTGTGAAAAGTGCAGCATCTGTGTGAGTTTTGCCACAGAGTTGATCCTGAAACTGAAAACAGGAACCAGAAGACAAACAGGATTAAAAACCAGCTGAAGCTCATGTTCGGCCACTGTTAGAAAAAAAAACACACACACACACAACTGGGCCTTCAAAATAACAACATTTCTTTCTACTCATAACGTGAACGTAAGGTTTTCACAATCCTAAAGTCAGACAGCAGTGTTAGTGGTGACATTTCTAAAGGATAAAGCTTTTCATATTTTTTATTGTCCACAAACCTCACAAAAGAAATAGAAATAGAAATATATTATATTAATGAAAATATTAGGTAGAAATGCCTTTAAATAATAAAAAACATTCATTTATAAATCCTTTATTGATCAGATCATGCCAAACGTCTTCTGTCAAAGGTGGAGAACTTGTCTGAAATGACCCTTTGTGAGTGTATGTATGTAAAATGTGTTGATGCATATTGTTGTAAATACAGGCAACTGTGACAATCTTATCTTTCTGTTATGTCGACTGTGAGAAATATCTTTGCTGAAATAAGGTTTTTAATGTTTGTATATGGTAAAGATGCAGCCCAGAAAGGTTTTTCTTTTATCTTTTCTCTTTTTGTTTTGTTTTTTTTATTTGAAAGTTTTTCATCCGCATGATTCTGAAGATTTAACTGAAATGAAAGACCTTTATGAATTTTGTTGCATGAACATCATCCACAATCTGCATGAGCTTTTACACAAACCTGATGTGCGCTTTGAACAAGTAGGTTGACAAATTAAAAAAAAAAAGTCTTAACTCAAGTTCTACTTACTAGCTTTCAGCCACATCTTATGATCTTCATCTGTGGATGGAGTTTGCTCACTAACACGTGACCAAATATACTGTGACTTAGTGATAAGAACTGAGCTGTCAGCATGACACCTAAACATCCACTGAGGAGGATGTGAGATCTGGTTGAAAGCTCCAGGAAAAAGTTAATAAGTGGACCTTAGGATAAGATTTAGTTTGAAGAAACAAACTTGTGAATTTGTATTTGTAAAAGCACATTTACCGTGTTGTTGTTTTAGTTTCTAACAAATTATAACAAAGTTATCATGTTGACTAGCAAAATGTGGGGGCGGAGTCTTTTTCTGAGGCTCCGCCCACATATGCAGCCATGGCAACAGGAAAAAAAAAAAAAAAAACATCGACTGCTTGAATGTCCGCTGTGTGTGACGGTTTAACTGCTGCACTTTCTGTGATCAGCACTTACAATCTTTAAAAAAAAATAATACGTTCATAAGCTTTTGTTAAAACCTGAACAGTGCAAACGTCATCCGTCCATCTGTTCTCTGTCTCTGTTGTAAAACTTTTGTAAATTATCTGAGTGTTTTGAGTTCTTTTAGTTATTTGTAAAATCCAGAGTGAAGTTTTAGTTTGTGGCGTATATAAAACAACAGCGTGGCTGTAACCGCTCTGTGTTCTGTCTTTTATTTCGGCAGCGACGTAGGTTTGATTTCAGAATATATATGAGCCAAAGCATTACGACCAGGTAGGTGACCAGCACGTGTAAAGACGAGCTATCACCCACCGCCCCACCCCCCTCAAATAAACTACTTAAAAAGATTAAATAATCAGATGTAGAATTGAATTGAGATTTTAATAAAATGCTATCCAATCCCATCCCCACAAAAAACACAGTCATCCTCCATCTCTTGAAGTGAAGTGAGAAAATTAAAGAAGCTATTTGTAAGTTCTGCTATTGCTACATAGCCAGCGTTAGCATTAACAGCTTTACTTACCACTCTTGCCAAGAGCTTTAGCCATTGTTGCGTTAACAAGACAAGAGGTTAAAATACGTCTTCTGAGCAGCTACTTCTTCAAGGGCAGACTGGACACTAGAAACTCAGAAAGTGACAAGACAGTCCAGCCTTGGCTAGCTGGTTAGCATGCTAACGTCAGTAGAAGAAAAGAAGCGATAGAAATAGAGTTTGTGTTTCTTTCCACCCCTGGAGACAGCTCTTGAGGAGCGAAGGAACGAAATTTGATGCTGAACTTGCAACATTTCTTCTAGACTGGTGAGCAGACAGCTGCTAATGCTAACGCTAGCTACGTAGCAATAGCAAAACTTACAAATAGCTATTTTAGCTGTGCAATATCTAATAGAAGAAAGAAAAAAAATGTACTTTTAACCATAAAACACACAGGCATGTTTAGGGTTTCCACCTTCGACTGATCATTGATAAACTTCTCCAATCCACTGGTTTGGTTTTACTGGACTTTACATTACATTACATGACATTAAACTTTGAGGACATAGTTTGTAAATTAAATGACGTGTACACAAATACGGGGCTAATCGTGTCTGCAGCATTTTATTTTGAAATATGGGATCGTCCCGTAGAGCAACCATAGTTATAGTGGAAGTACTTATTTGCCCTGAATTGTGTCCGCAGGTTTTACTGTCAGGCTACATACACCTCCAACAGCCTCTGGAACCAGTACAGGAAGGCAGGGTAAAGCTCAAGCAACATTTGATAATAACAGAAGACGACTAAGGCGACCCTAGTACTGTCCACCACCCCTCCCTTCCCCTCCCACCCCTGCAGAAATTACACCCTTGACAGTGAGTGTTATGATTCATCCATATCATCATCCATCAGTCAGTTTGAGTCTGAATCCTTAAACACTGCTGTGAGTCATTGTGGCTAAAAAAAGGTTTGAATTTAAACAATTGCACAGTGATCCACGGCGACATTGTGCGCTGAGCGGTTTCCGTTGTCGGCGGCTGAGTCATGAACTCATCGTTCCACATCAGCGGACACTGACACGTGTCTGAGGATTTAAAAGACGTAGGTACAGACGCATCATGAATATGTGAGGGCATCCCGACCTCTTTATAAGCTACAGTAGCTTCAGTCTCATGTCAGCGCTCAGTAACATTTAATTTTCTTCAACAAGGTCTTGTTCATCTGTTGGTGCATCAAGGAAGTTTACGTCAGCTGCACATTATAACACAACACCTGTAAGTGTTTAAGCCACGCCCACTGCACTGCAACCAAATGACCTGCAAATGAACAAGCATTAGCCAACTAGCCGGCCCAGATGTTAAAGAAATGGTTTGACATAAACTATGCTTATTTGCCTTCTAGCAGAGATATTAGATTGTATGTTTGAAGCTACAGAGAGCAACTAGTTAGCTTAGCTTAATAATATATGACAAAACCAGCTCCTATTCAAAGGCAAAAATATCCATAAGTTTTTGTGAAATAAAGTTAGGTGTTGTCAAGGTTGCTAGGCAATAGGAGCTGCGCTTTGTGAAGCAACATAAAGGCGGGCACAGCTGTTGATGTTGATGATGCCCTTGAATTAGGACACAGCTACAGACTCTCTTCAAATTAAGCATGTCAGTTTGTTTAGTGTTCACCTGGACGTAACAAACTGGTGTGTACACGGACGTCCACACCAGAGCCTCACATACTTCCTCAGATGACGAAATTTACTTTTCAACACTTTTCAAGCAAAAGTAGGACATCCAAAGTGCTAGCACAATTTCCAAAGTTTCTCAAAACTGGGATAAGGGCTTATCCAGGTTTCTGAAATCAGGACCCTGATCATAGCCACGATCC